TTCACATATCTTTATACCCTTTGACCTTGAATAAAAGGATATTTATGCGAAATGGGGATATATGATGTCTATAAACATAAAAGAAATAAGTTAATCACTTATATGGCGCCGGTTCCGTTTTTTTTTTCTCCCTCATCTCCTATATTTCCTTTTCTTTCAATTGTTCAACAAAATACGGACAAAGCTCGTAACAGTAACCGATAAATGTATATAAAACTTATAATGTCGGAAAAAGTGGCCTTTCAATTACCATCTTTTCCGGTACGTATCGTTTCAACCGGCGCCTGTAAAATTTTGTTAATTCTTTACAACTTCTTTCATTTTCCTTTCTTTTCCTACTTTTTTTGTTTTTTAACTTTTCAACAAATAATTTGCAATCAAAAAAATTATGCGATTGAAAAATTCATTTCAAATGAATTTATCCAAAGAAGAAAATAAATCTTTTAAAGTGCGGGAATTTTTTTTTTGTTTAACGACTATATTGAAATTCAATTTTATTCTTCCACAAATCAAAAATATCCTCACTTACTTCTTTTATTTAACCTGAATTGTTAGATTAAATTTAGGTTAACTGAAAGAATGAAATGGATGATTCTCGTAAATCATATTGTTATTATTATAAAATTACGAATAAATTTAATTGATCGCCTTAAATTTTTCAGCTCTATTAGTTTTTTCAACATTTCGAGAATGCAACTAAAAATTTATCGAATAGCACTTTTTTTTTTTCTGTGATAAAATAATCGATCCGGAGTTATTTTAGTAAATGGTGAATGGGGAGAATGGTCTACATGGAATGGTAATTGTAAAGTTGATTGTGCACAGTTAAAGCAAGAAATAACAAAGAGACGTTCCGGTATCATCCATACAAAACTTGATGATATTTGGCCAAAATTGGTACGCAGGAGAACTTGTAATAATCCTGCACCAATGAATGGTGGATCGGATTGTTTGGGTGATCCGGAACAAACCAGTGAATGTGCATTGGACTGTCATTTGGATGGTTATTGGTTCGTTTTTAAAAATTCAAAAGATAAATGTTATTGAAGAAGTTTAGATCTTATCAAATGCTTACCATCTTGCAAAAAAGAGCCATAGATTGAAAAAAAATTCGACTCGATCTTAAACTTTAATTTAAAGAAAAAAACAGCTATAATAAATTGACACAATTTTTCTGGAGGAAAATGACATAGGTATGTATAGGTCAGAATGGTCATCGTGGTCACAATGCAGTGAAAATTGCCAAAAATTTCGTACTCGTTCGTGTAACTCACCTCGACCAACTAGTGGTGGGCAGTTATGTAGTGGTCGTGATTTGGATAGCGGGAATTGTACTCAAGGAGAAGCATATTGTACAGCAGCAGTACAACGATCACCACCAACTTATATTGGATATAGCCTAGAGGCTCAACTTGCAATGTATGCTGGACTACTTAGTGTACTCATCCTTTTACTTATCATCCTTATTCTGATATCCCTATTGCTGTATCGTTGCCGACGAAGATGTACCGGTGCTAAGAAGGATAGTTTTTACTTCGCTGAGAACAGCGGTTAGTTTATTTATTTGTTTAATTAATTCTTGTTTACTTTTGTGAAATGGTTAACAGCCATCTGGTAAAGTCATTGATGACAGCTCGTTGAGAAAATTGAATAATTTGCATATCATGCTTAACTTTCAAATCTTGAATAATTATTAATGGAAACTTTAAAACATAATTGCAGGACATATACGTACTGCATTATTGCAACAACAACAACAACGATTACTTGGTGACTCACTTAAATCAATGACAAAAGGTGGTAGCGAATTTTACACATTAACAACGACTGCTTCACCAACTCATCCTCTTGTGAGACCACCATCGTTAACGCTTCGATCGGCTAACAGTAGTGGCTATTCATCGACAAGAAAAATTACAGGTTTAGAATTATTTGCTAATTGGATTGGGTCAAAGATTACTATTTTCTCTTTCATTGGCTAAAGATGAAATTTTAGAGAATTCCCTTTTTACTTTTAAAGAAAATTCATCATTTTAAATTTGAAGGATCACGCGTGGCATTAATTACGGAATCATCGTCAAATTCATCAAATGGTAAAATTACAATTGCACGTACAAATTCACGAACATCGGATGAGAATTATGCAACATTGTATGATTGTGTAGGTGATGTCAATGATCAGTACGGGTCCTTCGAGCTCAGCAAACAGCCTCATGTCGTCCTTCCTGCTTATGTGGATAGCATGGGTGGAAGATTATTGGTACCGTTTTTCAGAATAATTGAATGTTTGGGATTTAACAGTTCATTTTAACAAGAAACATTCATTTGATCAACTTTATCACTACTAAATAGAGGATTCATTTCCTATCTGGAATTTTTTCATGTAATCTCAAAAGTATACCATAATCTGAAGTGGACTTTTTTTGGAAATCAGAAATGACTGGGAGACAAAAGATTCGTAATGAGAAATTAATCTGCTAGTATCATTGACCCAATTTATTATATAAAAAGAAGCAGCTGAATGAATATATATGAACTGGTAAACAATAAAATTTTTAAAATTCAAATAATGATTAATAATCTTTTTTAGCTCAAACGAAGTGGTGCTGCCTTGCTAATACCGGAGGGTGCATTCCAGACGAACCATATGGTATTCCTTGCTGTATCCGATGATCTCAACGATTCACCCAAATTACTCGGTAGCTCCAGTTTTTTCTCTCAATCCATGTATTCATGTTAACCCGTTTAAAAACATTGAAGTAAAATTAATTTGAAATTCAAATCTTAATTGGTGGAATCATTTTCAGAAGGTAATGCGGTGCTAAGTGCTGTGGTGATGACAGGCCTATGTGATGAGAATGAGAATGATGTCGTCATACATAGGCCATTTATCGTGACATTTAAACATTGCGCCAATATTTTTCCGAAAGATAACTGGATTTTCATGGTTTATGCAAAGGGCAATCAAAATAACAACTGGGAAATGGTTGCACAAATTGGTGATGAAGATATCAATACACCTCTCTACTGTCAAATGGATTTGACAAAGTGCCACTTATTTTAATAACAAATAATCATTACTCTAGTGGGAGTGACCACATAATCCTTATAATTGGTACAACTGATCAGAGCGAATCAATAATAGAAATTCAATCTTTTTTAGTTACATTTTCTTGCAGGTGCCATATAATGATAGAGCGCTTCTGCAAGTTACTGTTGGTCGGTAAACCACGTCGGCCGACGTTAGCAACAATGAAACGGATGCACTTAGCTGCGTTCGGCCCCTTGCATCGTATTTCTAATGATACATCTATTAGGGTATACTGTGTACCCGAAACTGGGATCGCCATTCAGAATGTCTTGTGTCAAGAAGAAAATACTGGTGTTTTGCTGGCTGAATCAGAGAATTTTCTGATGCGTGAGAAGGGTGCCTTGTGTGTATGTCTTGAAGAAGTGTCAACAGGACTTGTAAGAAAGCCCGAAGCGCAATATCTGGTGCGTTAATCTGGACATTACTGAGCTTCATTCCATCTTAAAATTTCGTAAAAAAAGCATAAATTTTATATAAACCAAAAACTCTTAAAATAATTTTTGCAAATACTTTACAGGAGATACCGTCTAGCCATCATTTATGGTGTGTGCAAAACGGCTTGCACTGCAGTCTGAAAACCGATGTTCCGGAAGATTTGTTAGAAACAATTACCGGTCGAATTGTTATCTACCAGAAGGGTAATGCCGATGCGAGAGAAGTGCTACATTTCGATATGCAACAACCATTCGTAAGTCACATTTCAATAACTTGAAGTACAACTACGGAAATGCCCCCGTAAAGAACATGATCATTTCGATTAATCATTCTTATCCACAAAACCTATCTTTCCAAAACGTATCTCCCGAAAAGTGCGGTCCATTTCAGGAGGATGGTGAAATGGAAGAAGATGGAGTACTTTCATGCGGTTTTTTATTGGATTACGCAACGAGACGAAAACTGGCGGAACTTTTCGATGTCCCTACCGATCCGACAAAGGACTGGCGAGGATTCGCTAGGAAATTAAATCTCCATAGGTATATACAGGTAACTACATACATTCTTTAGCCTTTGTTCAGGAGGATAAAAGAATTACTTCACTAGCTAACTTCGTTTACAAGATGTCCCATTTATAGAAGTGCTACAAAATTGAAAGTAATTCTCAGGTCAAGACAGTAGCTAATACTTCCAATATGTCATTACACTATAGATTAATCCGATTTTCAATTTGCAGTACTAGAATTCATAATAACTCATAAAAACTATAAAAATAAATGCAATAATAATGTTTCAGTATTTTGCAACCCGACCTGGTCTTTCACCAACATCACTAATTCTGGACTTATGGGAAGCTGTGGAATTCGGTTCACAGAGAGCGGTACTTGATCTTTTGCAAATTGTCCGAATCATGGGTCGATCTGACGCTTTAAAGGTGCTCGAAAGCTATCTTTCCAGTTCAAAAAACATGAACAAATGAAATAGAAAAAATGAAATTTGTCGTCAAAAAAGCGATTCATGTGAAGTACAATATCTCACTGAGAGGTCTCGATTAGATGATATATTACTCTGTGCACTGAAGCAGTAAATGTTTTTTTTTTTTTTTTTTTTGACAAATTACAGTAAAAAGAATTTTGGAAGACTGACTCCAATTTTGCATAAAGATCCTGGCATAGCGATCTTAGAAATATCAACGGAAAACAGCTAGCCCTTCATTATATTACAATAAAATGAACCAGTGACCCAATATGAACCCTTAATTCCAGTAAAGTTACGCACCGCTAGAGCATTAGTGGTATCACCGACCAAATTTATAGATATATATAACACAAATGATCTCCATACGCACATACCATACACCGGTAAAGGACGATTTAAATACACAGCCGAAAGTAAAGTCATATAGAGAACTAAAAGATTTTTAGTATAAACTAAGGAAACACCTAACAATGAAGTGCATGAATCAGTGCAGTAGTTACACGCTGTTTCGAAATTCCTTCGCTAGCCTTCTGGCGTCGACTTGACCTTCATCCTGATATAAAAATTCGCATGATATTATATCCTCTAATCATAAAAAGGCATCTATTTAGCTTAAACTTATTGAATAAAATTGGGAAAAACAGTAACGTACCTGAACTTTATTTCTGACTTCTTGATCGATTACTTCGCCACTGCTATTTACTAGCCTAGCAGCGGGTATCGTCTTCACGTCATATTTCTTCAGGAATTCTCTGCAGCAAAAACAAAATTTGAAAATAATTTACTGCCATTAGTGCGTAATTTCTCTTTGTACATATCATCATAGTTACGGCATAAATCCCATTGGTTTCGCATTTCACGCAATCATATACACAAAGTAAATGTGCCGTAATATGTATTACCAGGTGTGATGTGGCCGAGTAACCGTTAGTCAGTGAAATAAGCAATTCTACACGTACTTAATGCGTATTTGTCACGATCTTCAAATTCAAGCAATAAAAAAGTACGTGAAAAGAAATGAGCGAGACCTACGGAATATGTTTGTCACCAAATGGGATATATGGCACATTGGGTAGTGCTTTATTATAATAATCTAACTGGTGTTTCGCCTCACGATCACGAGAGACCCAAACTATTTCAATATCTTCATCTTTTCCTGCTTCATCGTACCATTTCTAGAAAGCCACAATTATTGTAGAAAATCAGAGAAATGAAATTCTAAACACCCCAAGCACCTGTATAGTGATAAATAAAGAAACGAATGTATACCCGAGTTTGAAAACTACTGAAAATCGGCAGGAAGACGGAAAGAAAGGGACCATTGAAGCAAAGGAGGAAAGACTTACTTTCAACTTGGGAGTAAACAAGCGGCAGTGACCACACCATCCTGATGAGAAATACAGTATAATCGCCTAAAATTTAATTAAAATTTCAGAGCAAGCAAAGTGTAAAGGGTCAGGCTTATCATTTCAGCTCAAACTACTCGATTCCCTTAAAATTTCCTAAAAATATATCACACTCCGCCATGCAAAATCCAACTGCTACTATCACGACACGTAATTAGGGCAAAATTTTATCAAAGGACTGTAAACCTTATTTTTCAAGTCATCAATTTTGACTGTTTCGCCATCTCGTTTCGTCAAGGGAACATCTTTGAGGAATTCTGCACCCGCTGCATAACAACGACCAAAGTTAAGTCTTCCTATTCGAGCTAATAGCATTTTTGGTAAACAAATATTCATTCTAAAATTGAATGATAAAGAGTAAAGAAATTATCCGCTCAACACTTATTTGGCCAACAAATAAGGTTGGAATGCAGAAATTTATTAACCAATAAATATTACAACGAGCAAATGTAAACTCATAAACCACCTCAACTTAACTCCTTCATTGTTTCCTTCTACCTCCTTGCCACTTACTCAATCTCGTTCAAACTCACAACGAAAACCAAAATCCCAGCAGGAATGAAAGGACAAATACAAATTTTGTCCACACTTAGGCTTCTGTCTTTAAGCTCTGGTCATTTGACTTATTCCATCTCCTAGCGGTCTCGAGTTTATTCCACGCTAGAAATGGTTAAACACGAGCTTTTCAAAGCCTTGAGGTTCTTAATTGTGTCTGAAAAAGCAATCCCTGAAACTTTCAAACGTATAATGTCAACAATCAAACAATTTCTTTAATCTATTCGCTGGTGGTCATTGGTGATAACTTAACAATAACGACAATAAATTAACCTATGCATTCAGAGAATTTATCATTAAGTATTAGTGAACAACAATGCGTAGTGACCAATTTAATTCAACTGAAATTTGAATAACAAGATAATGTGCCGGAATCTGTTAACTGATAGAATCAATGAGACATATCAAATTTACTTAATTTATAAGCAATGTGGCACGCTCCATCCGATACAAATTAACACTTATTGAGAGGGGGAGAGGAGAAAATTTTTTCAAAATCCCTCCCAAAGATTTTATTTGATGGACCGACGATGGCTTATCAAATGCAGTATACGACAAAAACTTCCATGAATGTGCAGCTCAATATTTTATTCACCCACAATTTTCATAAACCGCCATCAAAGTTACGAAAAAACGAACACTGCAACGCTGGCGGGGTTCGTTCTTGCTTACGATGAATAGATACGTAAGAATTTACTGCGGTCGCACAGTTCTTATTCCACAACCCTAACTGTGTGATCTCGAGAAATAATTTCTTGAATAACGAACCAATGATTGATGAGCAGATTGAAATAGAAGAGTGTGTCATGGAGGAGGGTAATACGCATATCGTTGGTTCATTGTCCCGAAAAGCTTTATTAAAACGTCAGACAACATTAGATGCCTTTCTCTCCAATGAACAGGATCGGAAGTCTTTTATCAGTGATAAACTGATTCATAGAAAAGTCAAGAATAACCGGATGTCAATAACGATTACCCATTCAGGTAGACGGTTATATCATCGACGCTACAGTTAGTCCACCAATGATATCTTCCAATAATTTAAAGTATATTCGACATCTGTTTGTAACGTGATTATGGGATGGTAGATTTCAGTTATTTCAAAAAATAAATTGAAGCCGAGGAAATCTTTCGGATCTGTTGTTGAAGAAGTGGATCATGGTGGAAGTGGAGAAGGAAGTCGCAACGACTGGGTGAGAATGAGTGGCGTCATGGAAAAAGTAGTTTTTTCTGCTCCCGGTACTTCAAGTACTGTTCTCACCTTTTTTATACTCGTTTTAAATTTGTTCCAAGAAGTATATAACATCTGATTCTGTCATGTACTTTTGCTCTCATATTTTCGTTGTCTGACCAAGAAATTTGAAAAGCGATTATCGTTTCGTGAAATATTGCGTTTTTCTGAATTCAAACTTTGCGAAACTAAGGAAGGTAGAGTATTTTTTTGCAGGCAAAGGTGAAAGCTGCGAGGACCACTCTGGATGAATATGTTAAAGTCGACCCGCATTTTACGCGTTGCTCTTCAAGTAGGAAGATAATGGAAGTACGGTATATGTTTATATATATATATATAAAATATGTTTGCATATCGTCAACTGTGTGAGAAGGCAGATATCGATTGTGAAGGAAACATTGCAGTCGGCTATTGAATCGATACGCTGTTACGAGGATATGTATCCTGATTTGAACCACAGAAACGCTTCCGATGTGGTATTAGTATCTTTAAATTCGATATCTTCTGAAATTTCTCCAAAACCATATCCTGTCGTCTGCGCTGACCGAACATATGGGTGGAATTTCGGGAAAAAGTGAGCTTTATTTAGTTGAGAATGAAATATTAGTTGTAACTTCTGGTACGCGAGAATTTCCGAATCAATATATCCAAATTTTAGTGTCATTTGTTCAGTTTCAGGTATGTTCGTTTGCCATACTCTATATGTAATGTAATTGATGGAGTTGCACGATATGACATTATACAGGCTGCAATTTCGAAACTTCTGCAGCCACTTAAGACTTATAAACAAATTGAGGTTTTAATTACAAATTTGTTTTTCCCATACGTGTTTTTGGAGAGTAGTGGTTATTAAGCATTGATTTTTTTTTTCAACAGGAATGTATCAGAAGCTACTCACGTACCAGAAGTTTCGATGCGCTTGGACAACTTTTCGAAGCAGTTCTGAATGAAACATTACGTGTGCAATATCTTACCATCGTGGTACCTTTTATGGCGAAATTGGCTTTGCAGAGTCCAGATCTGATAACTCAAGTAATTCATTTAATTAGACATTTAACGCTGTATGAAGGTTGTACTTTCAATTTTGTGGTATTTTTGCATTGTATATATGTATATTTATAATTTTTAAAATGTTGTATACGTCCTAGATTACTAAAATATTTCCATCCTTACAACAAGGGTAAGGCAATCAGCAGATCTTTATTTTATGCTCAACAACTGAAGTTTTGTATCTGTATCCATAACAACAGTAGGTCATTTAACAGAAAAAAATCACAAAAAAGTAATTGGCAAGAGAGGCATAGAAGTTAAGTAAATCATTGTTGACATATTATACAGTTTGCGTGATAGTTTTTCGGTTCCAGCCAATACCGATATTGCGTCGTGGAAGTTCTGGATCGGTAACGATAAGTCAGCATCAAGCAGCCTCATTACTTGCACACGCATTTTTCTGCACTTTTCCAAGCCGTAATATTGTCAGCAACGAATTGCCGTCAGTTAATTTCTGCCGTTTGTTCAGTTTACGTTCTGCAAATGCGGTGGAAAAACTACGGTGCCTAATGCATTATTTCCATATGATCTCCAAGAAAAGTAACTACTATTTTCTTCGATTTTCATAAAAAAATACTGAGTTTGAAGTTAAAAGAAGTTATAAGTTTATGAGTAAATGCAGAGATGAACTATGCATAAGTTATTTACAGTGCCGACAGGACTGTTGACGATTCGGCGGCAGAATGATTTGGCAAAGGAGTGGTCTTCCATGCATTTGCCCTTATCGAAGCTTTATGTTAGTCATACGGGTACAATAGAAGATGATGGTCATGGCATGTTGCAAGTGGATTTTGCCAATGAATATATTGGAGGAGGCGTATTGAGCAGTGGTTGTGTTCAGGTAAGTCGTGGTGGAATAGCGATTCAATATCAGAAAATCTTTCGTTCATTCGAAGACGAGCTCGTTGAAAATATCGTTTTCTAGGAAGAAATCAGATTTCTCATCTGCCCAGAAATGATTGTGTCGATGATTCTATGCGAACGGATGCATCATAACGAAGCTATTGTTATTTGTGGTGCGGAACGATTTTCTGATTATGGCGGTTATGGTTCATCATTTCGTTGGCGTCCAATGGGGAAGGTAGATTCATTTCCGAGGTTATTTTTTTGTTAAATTTTATCTAAGTTTTCTCTTTGTAATTTTACATTATTTGTTGGTGTTTAAAAATCTTAGAAAATTTTTGTGATCTGTTATTATCGGCGTCCTAACAACGAAAGAATTCGGCAATGTGTGAACTTCTTTGAAAAAAGAAATAATAGCTACAAACACCCTTTTGAAAGGAATTTCCCATTACTTAGTGATGAGTTGTTTGTGATTTAGGTGCCACACGAATCTTATTTTCAGGGACCGCTTCAATAGACTGTGTTGTGAATTGGTAGCAATTGATGCCTTGCCATTTTCTAATAGACATGAACAATTTAATGTCAAGTTAGTAGATCGTGAATTGCTCAAGGTATAAGCATTAAATTATATGCGTTCCTTTTCGTCCTTATTTTTGTAAGGATCGGCGGAAATGAAATTTTTAGGCTTATGTTGGCTTTGCTGTAAATGATGGGATGACGAAGCCGGTTGCTACTGGCAATTGGGGCTGTGGTGTATTCGGAGGTGACTTGCACTTGAAAAGTAATTTTTTATTAATCCTTTGCAACTGATCTTTTTGTTAATGCTACGTAGCATGTGCCGGATTTCTAAGTCAGCCTAATGAACATTTAGGTTTAATACAACTTATGGCATCATCTGCACAAAAAAGATGTCTTTGTTATTTCACATTTGGAGATCGGAAGTTTGCAGAGGACTTCACAGAAATTTACAAGATACTGGTGCAAGCTGATACTACAGTTGGTACGTTTCATTGAAAATTGTCATGGAAAACCACCAGATTTAATTATTCAGGCAGTTTGTTTTCTTTAATGATACGTCACGTTTTAACATGGTCAGGAATGTCGGTCTCACAAGGCCGTCTCTAACTGCTCTAACTTTTAAGTTATTCACTCATTTTAACTTGCTATCAGTTAGGTCTGCGACCACTAAAATTTGTGCTTGGATCTTCTGAAAGTATTTTATGCCGAATTTCAACATTGCTGAATTATTATTGCTAGATTATTAGTACTTTCGCACTGCGATAAAGCGGCTAGGCTGCGTTAGCTAGGTCGCAGAGTCACATAAAAAAAATTGCTGAGACTTTTGCAGGACAATTGTATGATATAATAAATGGTTACTGCTCTGCATATGACAATAGGTCTCCAGTGCTATTTGAATACATCTGCCGAAAAATTAAAGGAAATAAAGTATACCCATAACAGATCTTGACACTTGCGAAGTAATTGCTCATCCCGGATGTTACGCATTGTGATATTCAGTTATGTATTAAAGATGTATATTACTTATAAACGACCACATGATATAATTGTCACTGTGATCAGATAAATGTTGTTGAACGCTGTTTGCTAAGACTTCATTTTTACGAAGATGTAGGCGAATATTTCGCATGCATTAAGTTTTCATTAGTTTTTTTTCTTTTACACTCGTCACATACAATGTTATTTTTCTATAAAAAAATTAACTCTACATGAATATTTCACCAGTAGCAATCCATGGTCTTTTAAGGATTAAAAACTTATCGATATAAAATGCAATTACTATCCTATTGGATAGTAATTGCATTTTACATGGATTAAAACTACTCGATATTTCACATATCGAAATATTTTTCGTGTGAAATATTTTGATATTCTTCGTGAAATATTTTATTCTTCGCTTCTCCTGTACTTTTAAACTGCTTGGATTAAAATAAGAGCAATGGACCACCGGAAAACCCTTTCGTAAGTATAATGACTTGTGTAGTAATTTAATCTATACTATTTAATCTATATTCCTCAGTGTTTCGCCAGTCCTCAGTTTTTTCCTAATGTATGCAGAGATAAAATTTGGCAACATACAAAGCATTTTGATTAAAACATCCTACAATACAGAAACTACTGTAATCATTTGATAAATATTTTTAAATATCATCAAACACCTGAGTTCACTGGTCAACTAAGTTATACAATTCGATCACAAATACGAACAGCTAAGCTAACATCGACGAAAAAACGACTAAAGCAATATAAATAAACCAGAGTCTAACCGGTAATCGGGTTAACCAAAAACCATCGGACGATGGTTTCAGTTTAAATCCGTCATCCACCTATAAATTCGTCGAGATCAGCTTTTCGAGCATGCAGAGCATCTGCCAGAAAACTTTTCAACTCGACGCAGTGAGTGTATTTATTACCCGTTGCCGCTGATGCCGATGGCTTTCGACCAGCATACTTAAGCAGTCTTCCTTGTCTGAAATCTCCAGAATTTGTATGAAGAGACGATACCGCACAACTTGGGGAAAAAATATTAGTGATTGTTTAAAAATCACTATTCCTCGGATACTTAGCGTCAATTACTTCACGAAAGTTCAAAAGAATTAACGAACTTCGCTATAAGTGCTCCAAGTCTCGGCTGAATGAATCCCCATGCACCCATATTTTTGTGTTCCTCTTGCGCCCAAATAAGTTCTGCTTTGCCATATTTCATGCACTCCTTCTCGATCAAATCATATGGAAAAGGAGAGATTTGTTCAACACGACATATCGCTACCCGTGAGTCTAAATTCAGGTGTTTCCTTGCAGATACCAAGTCGTAGTAAACTTTACCTGAAATATACAAAACACTGGTTAATAGTAGACGTAGTAAGGCCAGAAAAATTAGTGAAAACTTCCAGGAGAAAAAAGTGGAGATAAACAAAATAAAACAAACCGGTGCAAAAAACCAAGCGCTCCACATTGTCAGCATTTTCACTAGCACTTCCGTTTTCTGGAATAACTCTCAGGAATTTAGTACCAGACAAGAAATCCTCGATGGGAGAACGTGCTAACGGATGACGAAGAAGCGACTTCGGTGACATGATGATCAGTGGTTTCCTACAAGAAATTCATGCAAGTCATTTCAAAATGTACCACAGAGTAATATCGTAAATTTAAACAATACCTGAAAGGCATCATTATTTGTCGTCTCAAAAGGTGACAAAAATTAGAAGGTGTTGTACAATGTACGACAATCCAATTTGTGTCATATAATTGCTGCGCTTCAAAAGTAGGCCCAAAGGCGGTATGCTGAAATCAAAATTATAAAATGCTACTCAACTATTCTTTCGTAACCCTCTACATGTTTAATGATTCTTCCGATAAAAGTGTACCTCAACATCAATTTCATCGTCTTCATTAGACATTTGCAAAAAGCGTTCCAAACGTGCACTACTGTGTTCAGGACCCATTCCTTCATAGCCATGTGGCAATGACATCACTAATCCAGACTGCCGAATCCACTTTGACTGACCTTCAAATAAATAACGAATAACACACACTTAGATTTCCAAGTCCAGCATTTCATATTTCAGGGGAAATAAACAAACGTAGAAATACCTGAAGCCAAAAATTGATCGGTAATACACTGGGCATTATTTGCAAAATCTCCGAACTGTGCTTCCCATATAACTAATGAATTAGGTTCCACCATTGAATAACCTAGTTCAAAACCGAGAATAGCAAATTCCGAAAGTGACGAGTTTGAAATGCTATATTCAGCTTGCTGAAATAAACAATAGATGACTATCTTGCAAACTAAAAGTTCGAGGTTATAAAGGTTCCATAACTGATGCATGCTTTGATCTATATATGTTGCACTCGTTTGGTGGTGACGTTTTACTCATCAATGTTGGCATCAAGAGACTTTTTTTAAGTGTCGTGAAAAAATTAACTCCTCAGTAAAATGAAAAAAAATGAAACAAGCTAGTAGGCTTAGTATAGGTTACAATTAATAACGTTTTAGTGATAGAACCTTGCACTTGTTTTCATATCAGCGATGATAACTATAAACAAAAGTAGAAGCACCTTATCGGAGAGACTGCCCAGTGGATTATACGTTTTTTGATCGATTTGCTGATCATGCAACACGTGATGTCGGTGTGAAAATGTTCCTCTTTCCACATCTTGTCCTGACAATCGAACATGAATACCTGAAACTTCAAAAAATCAAAATCGATGATACAAAGTTTGCAGTATTCCTTTGGGGAGAAAAAGAACATACATACCTTCTAGAAGAAGAGATCCAAAAGCAACGGCTTCTCCCATTGCCCAATCAAAACTATTATCTTGAAACATTTGACGTCGTCCTTTCAATATTCTGTCCAAACCCCGATGAAGATTGAAATCTGCATTTTCGGTAGGTTACAATGAGAATTTAACAAAAAATAAAGACTTAGTTCTCGTAACAATATGTAGTCTTATGAAGCGCGTAAGCACAAAGCATAACTTTCCAATATGATGCCTCGGAAGCACGAAATATGTCATACTTCCTCACATTTTAGTTTATAGTCTATATCACACAACTTCGTGGTTCCAAGGAACTACTTCTGCTTCCAATCTTTGTTGAATACATTGAAAGGAGTAAAGAGTATTACCCTACGTGTTTGAAAATTTCTATCTTTCAAATTTGGTGAAAAAGTAAAGATACCTTTTGGAACAGATGAAAACTTCTCAATGATATGGTTAATTGTTTCTTTTGCAACACCGGTTGCTGGTATTTTGAGTGGGTCACGCTTTTTGAAGAAAGTGTCCCATGGAGAATCGATCCAGTCCCTGTGACGAAGATATGTCACTTTTTGCGCCTCTTGGTAAGCATCTTCCAATACAGTATTATATTTGTTTACTTCATCCTACAAAAATAAAGATTAAGACTTTTGGTCGAATACATAAATGACGCAATGTTTGACTAGCGAATGGACTAATCAACTGGGATTAATTTGCTGGTGTTCGATTTCCTGTTACGCCGCACTAACTAATTATATGATTATAGATATTCAAGATGACTATTTTCTTTTTGATTTCACAATAAATAATAAATTCATACCTCTATATATTGCTCACTGGCAACATTTTCAGCAAGAATTTGCTTCTGGTAAATTGCTAGCACCGGTTTTGTCTTTCTAATACGCTGGTACATCAGTGGTTGGGTAAACATTGGCTCATCAAGTTCGTTATGTCCATATCGTCGATAACACACCAAATCAATGATAACGTCCTAAAATTGGCATACAGGAAATCTGCCCCGGTATATGGTAGAAGGAAGTGTGCTTATGACAATATAGCCGAAGCAGTTCAACCAACCTTTTTGAAAGTACGACGCCAATCAGCAGCTACATTACAGACATGCATCACTGCTTCTGGATCATCACTATTTACGTGGAATATTGGACACCCAACAACACGCCCAATATCAGTACAATAGGGAGATGATCGGGAACAACGTGGATCGGTTGTAAAGCCAATCTAAATAACTAGTCCTCAGATCCCAAATTTATACTCTAAAGTAATTTTTGATGACAATTCGAAGTTTTTTTACGTCGAAAATGGTTTTTAAAATTTTTATACTTTGTAAATATGATTATTCAGAGATATCACAATTCGGTATATTCGAAGAGAAGATGTTACAATACTTACTTGGTTATTAACGACCAAATGAATAGTGCCATGAGTAGTATAAGCCTTTAAATCATTAAGATTAAACGTTTCCATAACAACGCCTTGTCCAGAAAATGCTGCATCACCATGCAATAAAATTGCCATTGTACGATCACCTTTTTCATCACCATTGTAAAATGATTCTGCCCGTACCTTTCCCAAAACTATGGGGTCAACAGCTGAAACAATGAAATAAGAGCATCGATTAGCAAATATATGAAGATCACTATAATCTTTCTATAAAAGTTAAAGAAAAAGGAATTATTGATTTCTACACAATACATGCGTGTAGCAGACGTTCAGAATTGTGAAGACTACCTAGTTTTCGGATTTCTTTTAGCAATCGCTGTTTTCGGGAGAACATAGCTGAACCAAATTACAACCTACGCCATCAATCTCTCGAGGGGAAGATCGTAAATTAACCTTCAAGATGAGACGGATTGGCAACAACGGCAATTTTAATTTTTCTTCCAGAAACACGATTGAGACGTTCCAAGGAAATGCCAAGATGATATTTTACGTCACCCGAACCTTCATCAGCCGGTTCCAATGTAGAAAATTGCGAAAGAATCACTGGCAAAGGTTGACGACAAACATTTGCTAACATGTTTAATCGTCCCCTAGAAATCGCTTTGTCATAAATGACGTTATATATTTACATGAGAGCGCCTCTCCTTTTCTCTCGAATTCAAAGATTGTAAAGTAGGCATCTAACTCAAAGTTTAATCAAAGTTTCTATTTCAAAAATT